TAGTTAAACTTAAAGCAATAAGGCCCATAGAATCGGGGGAAAGAGCTTGGTGGTTAGATTCTGAATCGGAAAAGAAAAATAGCTTACAAAATAGCGAGAACCAAAGATCTCCATCAGAGAAGAACATTCCTAAAAAAATTACACACGTTGAATCTGGTGAAAAAGCATGGTGGCTTGATTCTAACAGTGAAAGTAAACACAATAACCAAGCCCCGCTTATGAATACATCAGAAAGTTCGGATTCTAACAAAATTATCAAGAAATGTAAATTTGCAGATGATGAAAAGCCTTGGTGGTTGGACAGCTGTGCCAATATTCCCGAAGGTATCGAACGACTGAGCCCTCCAAGAAAATCATCTAGTGATAGTGAAAAAAGTGATAAATTCAACTTTTTCAAAGTTCGACATATTGAGTCTGGAGACCAGAAGGATTGGTGGGCTACTAGTAATGAAAACTCAACCAATAGCAGTAAACCAGAACAAAACGTAATGCTGAGTAAATCTGGTTCAGAACGCAGCTTCCCATTAAGACGAATAAGGCATATAGAATCAGGAGAGAGGCCTTGGTGGCTGGGTAGTAACAAAAACATTCCAGAAGGTATTGAAAAGTTGCCTACGCCTCCACCACCTGAAGAAAGTGATTCATCTGATTCGGAAGTTCAAGTTTATGTTCCACCTGCACATATACCTCCATTCCCACTTCACTTGCCAGACGACGAGCCATTAGGAGCTAGAAGAAGCCCTGAAGGCTTAGAAACACCTAAAGAGAATGAGGACTACCGAGGACGCGCATCTCCTTACGAAAATAATCGTCAATTTAGGAGACCTTCAAACTCTTTCCAGAAAGGTGTAAATAAATATATCTCACGCTACACAGATATAGATGATATCCTTGGAACTTCTGGTCAAATATACAGTCCTTTTATGGACTCAATACTAGCTAGGAGAACCGGACAGCTCCCATTTGACGACGACGCGTGTGAAGAAATAGATCCAACGCAAGTCAGAATCCATGATAGTACGGCGCAGCGACCTGTTATTAAGAAGATTCGTTCCAGGTAAGGCATTTTAATACATTTAAATGATGCTATTTCTGTAGTTGGATGCAAAAACTGATATGTTAAGCCCCGGCCTTGATAAACATTGAGCTGTGATGAAAAACTTGACTTTTTACATACGTGTATTTTAACACAGAATATTTATTTGAAAAGCAAATTTGATAAACACTAGTTCCTTCAATGATTTTACGAATCACATACAAATCAGTTTAGCATCCATACAAAATCTAAAAAGTTCCTTGTTGGGAAAGCGATTACAAGCGCAACTGTCGTGCAAGTAGGCTTTGTTTTCTGGAAAAGCATTTATTTGGGAAAAATAAGGAAACATATTAATGTTATGAGGATAGAAGCCACGAACAAATTCGAACCCAGACAAAATACTTTCTATCTATGGTGCTGCACGAAAACAGCGTTAACAACTTTCACATACCTATACAGGCTTACTGCAAACTCCTTATACTATATTAGACTATTCAAATATCGCTCCCAGAAAACATAATTATCAAAATTTTAACTATTTTTTCGTCAGTTTTCGCTGAATGTGGAAATACGAAACCCAATTTCGACCACTTATGTAAAGGGTCTTGATGAATCAGCCGTTAATTATTACTTTCCTACCAACCGGTACAACAACCCGTTTCTAATATGGGATGATCTGAAATCTCAGTGCCTGTTATACTCCTCGCATTTTGACATTAAGCTTATCAACGCTAATTACAAGCCAGTTATCAAATCTAAATGCTTAACAGTCGTCTTAATCGTTGCACTAATATCTATATCGAAACTAATTTTACTTTTCTGTTCTGTTTCAGAAGCAATATCATCGATTATCGAGAGGAGGAACAAGTAAGTTTTGTACCTCAATATCTTTATAATTATGATTTCATTAATTATTACCAATTACCTATATACGTAACCTATGCGTTATTGATATTAGGACTCCACGATAATGTGTTGAACAACTATACCTACGTATGTATTTCTGTGGTAGTGCAATAAGCATAATGTATTATGGAATTTTAAAGATTGAATGCTACACCAATAATGGAAATTGCGGATGTAAAAACTTACCTTAAAACAAATTATACATGACAAAATGTGTAAGGTTAAAAAGCAACTACTAAATCCCTTATATACATTGTCAAAGATTACCTTATTAATTGCGTTAAGACTGATTACCTAACTAAATTGACTAGCCAAAGGTTATCTAGAATTGCTATTTCTGGAATTTAACCTAGACACAAATGACTCAGTTCAAATAGCTTGGTCATAAACTCCTAAAGCTATTGTTTTAGATTTAATAGCCTACCTTATTTATCTAATAGGCTTCTTAACGGGACCTATCCGACTCGACGGTCGCTTCAATGAATCACGAGTTGTCAAAAACGCTAATTTTGGTACCTACTATTTTTTATGCTTTACCTTTTTGGTCTTCAGGCCGAATTACTATTTGAGTAAAGACTTGGGGTCAAAATCATTTAAGAACTTTATGTTCTGCTTTTGGTTGTTGTTTCAAAAAGTTATAACAATAATGATCGATAGGTCGTAAGTGCAATCGCCAAGCAAAGGATTTCAGTTTGGATTTTCGGGTCAAGTTAGGATTTATTGTGAATAGGCACTGTTTAAAAAACACTGTTAAGCGCTTTTATCAACTTGGTAAATGACCGCCTGAACAATTAGGTACCAATGCCAGGTGAAACCTGTCTCACGTGCAAAAATTAACAACATAACATAATATCACGCCTTTTATCCCCGAAGGGGTAGGCAGAGGTGCACATTATGCCACTGTACAATTGTAACATCCACTTTTTCACGATTGATATTATGAGTCCCATATAATAGGGGGTGAGCCTATTGCCATATACCGGGCACGATTCCAGACTCCGTGCTACTATTGAGATTTTTATGAAAACCCAGTAATACTTCGCCCGACCCGGGAATCGAACCCGAGATCCCTGGCCCGGCAGTCGCACTTGCGACCACTCGGCCAACGAGGCAGTCAGTCAGAAATTAACAAATCTACATTTATTAGGTACTTTCGCGGTTTCGCCAGCTCTGCTCGACGCCTAGTCATCATAGTGTGATATTTTAAAGAATAAATAGCAAACAATTCTCGATAAATGGGCTATCAAAAAGAATTTATCAAATCGGACAAGTATGAAGTAGCTCCTCAGATTGAAAATTAGAAGGGTTCATATTTTTATTTTAATGTAATGTAGTTTTACATGAAATATTCTTGCAATGTAGTATGGAATAAGTAGCAATCGTACAAATATGCATTGTAATCTGACCTATATAACATGATCTAATCCGGTAGGTAAAGTTAATACAATCAATGATATCTGAATACAGTGGACAGACAACAATGGCGACTATTTGAAATCAAAGAGGCCGAGCACAATATATGTAACTACATTCACTATGTATTTTGCTATTTGGTATCAATCTATGAAAGTCAGACTAGATTGTGAATATGGAAATAGATTAATCTAAAGTCAATTTGGATTGAGCTGAATGTAGTATTATATCCCCCATTAACAAATTGTTTGATATGACCACAAAATTATAATTTGGTCCAACTTGAGTATTGAATACAGGATCCGCTACCACTGACGAAATTACCTCGTGAGCATAAAAAATAAATTAATTCAAAAAATATTTGAAACCTACTGTTACATTAGACCGATCTATTCTCAGATTTGAACGCGTCATAAAAAGACGTAATTTGTTGGTTGTAGACCACAGCAAATTGTGTTTTATTACAACCAATGCTAGCTTGCGGTTTGATATCGTTATCGCCTATGTGATTCTCACACCATAATAGTTCAACACTTACAGCATCAACAGTTTCTTTAAAAAAAGTAAAAAATCTTTTTTGCAAAGCCAATCACAACTATAAAATTTTGTTTCTGTCTTACAACATTGCCTATATTAAAACTAATTTCTTTTGTTAGGTTTTTTTCTAAAATATCAATCCCACATACGCAACAAACCCGGAACAAACTTCTGCCAATCAAACAAATGATTGGTCCGTGTGGGAATCAAATCTGCGTTTGTACCGCAGTATTGTTTAGTTACTACGTAAATAATTATCGAAGCATTTTGCGTAGGCTCGTCCTTTTTGTTATGAAAAAATTCAAAAAGGTGTTTCAAAAAACATGTCACAATATAACAATTTTGATTTATAAAAATTGCAGGTTAAGTTTTCATTCATTGATGGATATCCTATTTTTAAATGAATAGGGACAAATATTTACACAGACCATTAAAATAAATTGCGGTCGCCGCTAATAACATCAGCTGGCTGTACAAAAACTTGTCCAAGTTAATAAAAAAAAGTGGGAGCCGAGAGAAGTCGGTTACCGGTCTAATGGAGACGGACCTGCTACTCAACCGCGCAGTCTTACCGTAATTAATATTTACCTATCCTATTTTCAGTAACAAAGCTTTTTTGTTAAATTTAAATTATGTTTATGACACATGTTAAAAATATAATTAGAATTTACATTTATTTTCAATCGATAATAATATTTTAAAATAAGTCTAAACGACATTAATCAATCGAATGAAGACCGATGTAAAAAAAATGCTAAGTAAAATTATTTATACGAGTTCGGGAAGTAAAAAAAACGGTCGGACACTCATGCGCAGAGTAAGGCTTCGACGCAACGGCGGGAGCAGTGAACTGAGGAGTGCACTGTATCCTTGAAACGGTCCCGTATGGGAGCTCGGCGTTAGAGGGAGACGGCAACATTGTGCGCGTTGCTGACATTTTACAATGATGACGTCAAGACCAAAGAGTCAAATTTAAACAGATAGGCTTTTCCTTTCATTGACATCAGCACCTGTTTATAGAATAGACAGTACAGGTTTATTTGTCAACCGGATCCGGGACTGTATTACGCATGACTTCATAGACTTTGTTTCGATATCAGTTCCACAAGAAACATTATATCAATAACCAAGTTATTAGCTATTTACGGTATCTCCTTTTTTCTGTTAAGTTTAGATAAAAATAAAATATCAATAATGGTAATTAAAATATGTTTCATTTGTTTAAAGTTTTATAAAGCTACAACTACTATTTTTATAAATGAGCAAAAAACAGCATAAGTAATTTAAAGAAAAAAAAACTCACATTTTTGAAACACATCTCCAATAATTTGTAAGGTGTAGATTGAAATATAACAACTATTATATTATGAGATAACTAATTATCACCGAAATTATTCGTTTCTACAAAGTCAATTTATTCACCATCTCCACTTATACTTGTTAAAGTGTACGATTTTGCTAACAATAATAATATTACATTTAGATTAAAAGTGTCTGAAGGGCCTCTGCACAGTTGGCTTCGGGCCCTCGTATGTCTCCCAAATGACCTACCCTATGATCCCGTGAATGGTAAAGACATACATAACAAATTATTATTTTGTATTTAGTCATATGTATCTAAAAATGTAATTTTAAATAAATATATGGTATATAAATTACAAGAAATTGAAGAAACTAAAATAAACCTTTATTTTAATTTTTAATTTAGGAAATTATTGACAGGACTCCTTGACTAGTCTACGCACCAATAATGTTAATCTATGCAAAGGTTCAGTCATTCACTTTTCATCTCTTTCTTCCACACCGAACGATGTGATACAATGTTCTTTTCGATACAACCTTACCATATCTAGTAGGTGGCTTCGTCGGTACAACGCTACCACAATACTGACCTGTTCACAATAACCGGTTAATAGAGACGTGAAAATTGTACCTGAGGCGACTTGTCTCACAAGCTCTTCAGTAATACTTATGACTCGGTATCGGTATCAACTCGGGTGTGCTGGTGCCCTCGCACCCTAAAACTTGACAACAAAACAATGAAGTGTGTATAGTGACAAAGAGACCTTACTTTGATTCCCGAAGGTAGTGTTCATCTCCAATATATTTTATTAAAACGATAAAAATTTCGCGCAACTTTTTAAAAATAGGAGCCGGTTTTTGTATTTTTTTTCTTCCTTTTATGTACGAGCTTTCTTACTGTACTTCTTAGTGGTATAATATTTTGCTATTGTTTATCTAAACGTGGATTATTTTAATTGGAATTTGTTAACGTCTTGTTACTTATTTTGAATTAACACGTCCGTTGTTTCCGTGTCTAAACTCGAAAAATAAACTTCTTCGAACTTCAGAGGTAAAATATTTAAGATCGTAATCCCGATATTATGTTTTGATGTTAACACTGATATCAACTTCTGGATACTTTATTGCTTTTAATTACAACGTATTTCGATGAATGATTTTTGGAATTATCTTTTATCTTTAGTTGAAACTAAAGTTCGATATAAGTTGTAGTTTTTTCTGTACATATTCTCGTGAAGCCCGAGCGAATTTAAAGTTTATAATTGTATTGTTATATTGTTTTCTTGCTTATTTCCTTTGAATGGATAAGATATGTCTGACTTTTAGGGGTAAGTTTACGACTACTATACGTCCATTTTAGCCCGATTCTAGTCGTTCTTATAAGATTTTTTTTAATAGATGGTAAAATATATGAATACAATAAAAAAATTGTTATTAAAACAACTTATCGATAAACTGATGTAATGAAGTATCAAATGTATTTTTGTGGTAACTTGTGTGTCATATTAGATGCAGTTTTTGAAGGAAAATAACTATTGTGTTGTTCAGTATTAGGAGTCCGAATAAAACATAATTTGATTTTATTGACAGAATACCTAAGTCCTTGAAGGCTTGCAGGGACAGGGTGTTTTTTAGTCAGTAAGAGTCTGACACTCCCTTTGGGCTTACCCAAGTCATTCGATGGTTTTCACCCTCAAATAAAATCCTATAAAAACCAGAACACATTAAGAAAAAATTCTAATCATTAACCAAACATTACAATTACAATTACAAAAGTGTATATGTATGCATGTATGTATGTGTATGTATATGTACATGTATGTATATATTATTACTACGTTATTTTTTTTTTTCTTAGTACACAATCCGTCTAAATATTTCTTTTCATTATATCCACCCAAAGGTCGTCTGGTAGAAATCACTATAAGTGATAGACCACCTTTGTGCCCATTATTATTTTTATTTATATTTGTCATTTCCTTTTCTGTATGTACTGTATTATTAATGGTATACAATAAAGTTATATTCTATTTTATTCTATTCTATTCTACAATCCATAAATATTTTGTAAAATATCGGTCAAATTGTTTTATTTTAATATCCTTCGAATAAAAAGAAATATTTAGTTTACTTTGTTTTTTTTTATAAAGTTTGACAATTTTTTTAGGTTTTTTAAATAATGTAATCGATTAATAGAATATAGTTACGATTAATTAATACGAATCAGTTTGTTTTTTATATTGTTTGAGACTAATCTATAGCATTTTCCTACCACACAATAAAAAAAATTTCTTTTTTTCAATAATGACAGATTCGTCCATACGCTACTTAAGTTTAAAAAACAGTCGATAATTTTGCCGACCTAAGATATTATTATAATAAAATATTTCAGGTATATGATAATTAAACATTCCGGCTATTTTTTATTTTTGAAATAATATCTCATTACATCAAAAATAAAAAATGGTAAGATAAGGGACACAGTTCATATTGTTCCTAATAACTCCAGTAAACAATAATTATGGAATCAAAAATATCTATACCAATAAAAATATATTTTAGACTTTATTCTAATTTAACGTATTTTTCAGAATTGAATCGCGACGAATATTACTTCCTTAGCAGCGCCCTAGATGGCGATACGAGCTATAATTTCCTTTACAGGATATACAGAATATTGCATCCCTGTGACGGTTTGCTTTGAAAGAGTTTTTAATATTATAATAATATTTATTATTAACATTTAACACCGTCATTATACAGTTTTGTTTCGAAAGACTAATAGGACACAATTTAAGCTCATTAATTTCACGTCTTTTGACAATCTATCAAAAGGATAGTAACAGATAAAATTTTGGTAATAAATTTTTAATGTTTTATTCATTGAAATTCATTTTTTAGCTTTATTTAGGTTGTTATAGAAAAAGCAGACACTATTGCATGTACCATGGACTAGTCAAAAGATAATAAATAAATAAATAATTATTTTATAAATTACGTATAAAAAGCCGCCTTCGACCCACTCTTCTTTTTTTTTCTTCTTTAGATATACCTTCTTTTTTTTTTCATAAACATGTTTTATTTTTCGAAATATGTACATATATCTAAGTGTAATAAATACTTTTCTGTAAACCACATCAAAATCGGTTGAACCAATTGTGACATTATCGCGGACAGACATGCATTCCTACTTACATAAGTACTGGTCAATCTGAGAACATCCTTCTTTTTAAGTCGTAACATCGAATTTTATCAAATATTTAAAAAAAAGGTAAGATAAGGGACACAGGTCATATTGTTCCTAATAACTCCAGTAAACAATAATTATGGAATCAAAAATATATATACTAATAAAAATATATTTTATACTTTATTCTAAGTTAACGTTTATTTTTAGAATTGAAACGCTACGAATATTACTTCCTTCCTTCTTCCAGTCGGTTAAAAAACCTTATGTTTCTTACTAACTTACAAAAGAATTTAACATAACATAACATCACGCCTTTTATCCCCGAAGGGGTAAGCATAGGTGCACATCACGGCACTTAATGCCACTGTTCAATATGACACACACTTTTTATTTTACAAGTCCCGTGTAATAGAGGGTGAGCCTATTGTCATATACCAGGCGCAATTCCAGACTTTGTGCTATTACTGAGAATGTTTAAAAAAACCCAGTAGTATTTTGCCTGATCCAGGAATCGAACTCCTTGCCCGGTAATCGCACTTTCGATTACTCGGCCAATGATGCAGTCAAACGAATAAAAGATTGGATTTTTGTAATAATCAACTGATAGAGACAAATAATAAATAAAAGTTATGTTTTGTGTAACTTTTATTCCTAATAAGAGCTAATTACGTGTTACCAAGGTACCAGGTAAACAGATACCCCTTATCTGTTCATAGGAAGTACATTGTTCGTTCCGTCGATTTTTTAAGACGTCCGGTCGCGTCCCTACCTTCGCGATAACAAGTTTATAGCTTTAACACCTTGGCCTTCGAACAAAGGATATTCTGAAGTTGAGGGAAATTCTTTTTAACCTTTTGTTTTAACTTTTTAAGTGTTCTTTTGACAAATATGTATGTTATGTTAAAGGACTGTCGTTGGTTGTGTGTCAAGTTGGTTTTATGCAATGACTTGTTTTAAATAGTCTTCAATATTTTCAGCATTGTTTGATGGGTGTTATACATTACATAAAAATACATAGCATTCGTGTAAGTACTTACAATTTTCTGATCAGAAAAAGAATTTGACTGCACGGTTGGCGCGTTGGTTGGGCAACTGACTGCCGCGCAACGTGTCGCGGGTTCGATTCCCGCACGGAACAACTCTTTGTTTAATCCACAGTTCGTTGTTCCTGGTCTGGGTGTCATGTGTATGTGAACTTGTATGTTTGTGAACGCACCCACGACACAGGAGAAAATCCTAGTGTGGGGCAACGTTTTCTTTCGTGCAGGAATCGAACTCGTGGTACTAGGTACTAGCCACTTCGCCAACTGTGCAACTCTTAGTAGTTACACTTGGGACTAGACGAACGTTGAATTAAATACGTACGTAATAAAACAACAAAATCGCTTTTGTACTTGACTATTCAAGTTGTAGGATATTTTTGGTCTCATATTTTGAGACCTGATATTAAAAGAGGTTTTATAGCGGACCAGTTTTGAGCTGGGAACCTTCTAGAAATGTGTAGTACCTCATTTGTTCTTTTTTAAGTACAATTCCATAGTACACGGTTGAATTGTCAAGTACAAATATAGAAACTGGGTCCCAGTTTCTTTTGTTTTTATGACGTCTCCTAGGTGGTCCCTTTAAAGGACATGTCTGGTTAGGTGAACTTCCTAGTTATGTTCTAAATGATTGTTAATATTGACTATTATCAGCAGCTGCAAAGGAAACAAAGAGC